GACGGATTTCGATGCTCGGGCTGAATACTCATCTTCTATTGAAGTGAAGTCCTCCGCTTCTTTTCGGAAGCGCTGCCGTGGATTTTTCCTAATCGGTTCGCTCTCCGTGCTCTCGGACCACGACACTTTTCGTCGACCGGAAGAATTCCTTCTTCCTCTTCCCTCGAGTGGAAGGAGTCTGAATGCCGCCGCTCCATTTACTCCGAAGTGGGTCGAGCTTCCCGCACGCAGTGCCCTCGGATTTTTCGGGTCGGTTGAGGAGCGAGCTGTCGCGCAATGTTGTAGTCCATCCCCTCTGCGGGTGCGTGAGGCATTTCGTTTCGGGGAAAAAATTATTTCCACGAAAGCGATTGCGTATCCTCCAGCTCGAAGGAGACCGCATCAAATTCCGACCCTCTGCGGATGCATTGAGTTCAAGCGAGAATTTCCGGTCTCACTGAAAATGAGATGCTCCCCTTCCGTCTACGGTTTCCGAGACTCAACGTGTGAAACTCCACGTCACACTGCAAGCGAGTCGATCTTAAATTCAGTCTCGATCCATCAAGTCGGCACAGTAGGAAGTCGTATAAGAAAGGCTCGGAGAAAAAAGACAGTTCGAGGTCACACATCGCCCAGCTCGGTCATCAACGAACAGCGATTCCGAACAGTAGAATTCCGTCCTGTAATTTTCATCGCGTGGTTCCGGGTGTCGCACGTCATCTGCGTCACGGGCGTTCGTCTCGGCCGCGGTATGGGAAACAAAACTGGAGGAGCCATCCGCTTCGTATTTGATTTTCTATTTCTTTCGGTGTTTCTCATCACTGGTTGAGCGCCTTTTGTCGTGGACGATCGGCTGACACATCTGATGATTGTCGAACGGGGACGAAAGTATTGAGAGGAACACGATTGGAACAGCCGCCGATTCTCGTCTCACGCAGGTGGGAAACTTCATGCCGCAGCTGATTTGGAAAAAACCCGATACCTCATTAGCGGAAGTGACGCGCACTGGAAAACACAGTCCGAGCGATTGGCCGCTCGAAAAGTATTCGATGAACATTCCCTCTCGTTCTCGTTCTCCTTCTGTATGTTTTCGGGAAGATTTCGCACGTTTATATCAGGCACTCTCAATGTTTTTCGACTGCGGCGAATATCCGATAAATGCGGCGGCTCCCCAAACGCCTTCGACAACACGCTTTTTCGGGCTATGTAGATTCCGGAGCCCGTCTTCCTCCCATCTTTTCTGTGTGCCCCAAAGAAGCGTCGTGATTCCATCTCACGGATCACCGATCGAATTTTCTGTCGAGTGATCCTCCATTCGATTTTCCCCGACGTCCGCTTCCCGAATCGTCACTTACAATGAGAAGCTTTGGCTCGTCAGTACATTTTTGTTCCGCCATGAAGCAACAGACTCGCGATTTCCTTCCTTTGCGAAATCGAATGCGAGCGAGATCTTTTGCGGGCTCCGCGAGTTCACTTCATCCAGGCTCTACTCGTTCTCTACGAGCTCCCCCCGAAGACGATCAAAGATACCGAAGATCATCCAAGAGGATTCAGGCTCGAAATTACCGATCGACCGTCAACTCTCGCGAACAACTACATAAAGAATCTCTCTTCGGCCTTGTGTCCGAATGAATCATGCGAGGGGCTCCGAGGGTTCAATCGATGTAATTTGATGTCGGCGGCCGGGCCGATGCCACGGATCGACTCGACGATCGGCGCAGGGTGAAAGTAATGCGGAACTTTTCCTTTTCATTCTCGCCTGAAAAAATGGTTGTTGTCGTTTAGGAAGAGCGTTCATTGCGAATTGCGTCAGTCAAGCTCATCGGTCGAAATCTCCCTCCGCGCGAATAGCGTTAGATGTTTAGAAGCGTCAAAAATGATTGCATTGTTTGAGATCTTTTCTCGCCCGCTCGCTGAAGTTCGTCGAAGAAAAAGCGATTCCCGGCTTCGCTGGCGACATCGTGCACCCGCCCTTCGACGACGACGGCAACGACATTTACTCTCGCACAGGTAACATCGTTCGGTCGTTCATTCGTTCGGCTAGCTGACCCGACTGAAGAAAGGGAGAATGGCGTTTCGTTCGAAGAGAAAAACCATCCACGCATTTCGTCTACATTTTCTGACAGATGCCTGTGGATTGCGTCGAGATCTTTGCGATCACGTGGAGGGACAGACAAATCTCTTGCGATTCACGGGATTGCCGTCGAATAAGGCGTGCAGCGCGAGCTCGTCGTCGTGGGGAAAAGAACTCTCGGAGCTACGAAAGCAAACAATAGGGGGAGCGAGTATGTAGAGGGAGACTTCAGAGTTCCAGCATTGCGTGCATCGCGCTGGTAGCGGTATCCTCGTTTCGTTGCTGATGAGCTCGCTCGTCAGGCGAATGCGGCGAAAGTTTGAGGCGATCCGTTGCTGACGTCTACGATGTATCGAAATTCTTGTCGTGTCGGCTCTGATGTGTTGTTTCTATTTTAATCCGGAGCTCTCTCCTCGGGAAGCCGGAATAGAACAGACGTTCTTGTTTTCGAATCATAATGGCACTCCGCGCGTCAGCAGCTCTTCACACAAGTACTGCTCGTGCTTCGTGATCGATTTCGGGGTCCAGATTCCCAGACTACGGGGACCGGCGCGATTTCCCTCATTTAGCTCGACGGACACTTCGCCCCGACCGTCTCAGTCCGTTTGTCTGTGTGTCTGTCTGTCCGACCGCGCGTCGTGCGTTCCCGTGTCCATCAGTCGAGCAAACAGACTCTCTTCGGTCGGTCGTGGAATTTTTTTCCGCGTCGTGGCTAATTGAAGTCAAATGCACGCTAGAGCACGCGCATACGTTCGAGGGGATCCCCCGCGCGCGAGATTATTCCGAACTTGTCGAAGGGATCCCACGCCCGTGCTGCTTGCTGCCATCACGAGGCGATGCGCTGATGACTTCGGGAAGTAACGTCTAGTCGTTCGACTATACTCGGCTACGTCGCCGGCGCTCAGCCCTTCATCCTTTTACGAGTACTCTGTCGAGAGGGATGGATATTAATTTGAAAAATGGGTCGTCACTCCTGCGGTTTCCGATCGCCGATCGGATTTTCTCAATCCTTGAACACCGACGACTGCTATTTCTGGAAATGCCGCTCGATGCGGAAATTTCTCATTCCGAGGCAATGATTTGAGTCGTTGGAGTTTTATTCCGGAAGCCGCTGAGACAATATATCTGTCAGATTATTCCCGAGCGTTAAACTTTCGGTGCACGGTCGGGTGTAGGGTCAAGAGGATTGATGATGCGATTGATGGCCGGTAAGACTGATCGATGGCAACGACAGATAAAGAGACGAAAGCGCATCGACTGACTGGTTGAACTTCGTCGGATGAGTCGCTCTACGAAGGGAGAGCCGCCACGAACTAACTGACAATGTTTTCCGCTGTCGTTTCGCTTCAGAAACGAAGAAGACGAACAGCGTTTGGTACCCGCCGCGTCGTCGTTTGGTTGCTGCCAGTGGCCACCAGCACCGCCGCCGCGGCTCTCGTGAACGTCGTGGTTGTTGTTGTTGTTGTTGTTCGCTTCAAGTTGCTCTGCGTGGGTATTATTCCATGTATTTTCTCAGTTGCATTGCGCTCTTCTATTCTTCTCGCTGAAAGACGCGCCGTCATTTCGCTATGCGCCGTCCACTCTCGTCCGCGAATGTCTGACCGGCAAGGTGGTTTGGATGGAAAAACACGACTTTTCCTTTCATAATTCATCGAGAAGCTCCACTCGTGTTCCAATCGATCTTCACGCCTCTTCCGACTGTTTCCCGTGTGGTTGGGGACCTGACCCGATTTCCCTGTCGCGTGCTCAAAATTCAAGCGGGTACAAAGGTCGTCCCGATTCATCCTTGTGTTCTCGAAGACGCTCCGGATTCCTAATTAGTTTTGTGTGAGCCAGGCGGTCGCATCTGGACTCTTACGCAATCAGAGCAGTGACGCGGGCAACTTGGTCCGCGAAGGTCAGAGCCGATTCCGAGACAGAATACGATGCGGCTCGTACTGATGTTGATAAGGGAGAGCGGGCCCGAGGGCCGAGATACTTTGATTAATGACGTGACTCCCGAGAAGCGGGTTGTCACCCATCGATTGATATCAGCATCACTCGATCACTTTTTTCAACGATATTCCATCCTCGATTATACTCCAGTCAAGATGGTAGGTTGGTTGGAAAAAATCGACGATGAAATAGATTACATATCGTTCGAGCGTTTCCAAAACTTCGTCGCTCATGCAACCCCGATGGCGTGTTCCTGTAAGAATTTGTTCGCAGGGGAAAGCATCGGTCTTCGGATGATTCTGTCAAACATACCGCATTGATTGATGGGCATGGCGACGAGAGGAGTCCGAAGAAGATTTGCGTCCTCAGACATCATAGGACGAGACTCCGGCGTCGACCCATTGAGTGTTATGGAGCGTATAAGGCCCTGGAAAGCATCGAGTTCGCACTGAATTGACATATTTCCTTGTTTGACGGAGTTTTTCACGCATTGTCATTGCGGCCTGAGGCTGATACGGCGAAAATAATGCGAGCTCGTAGGAGAGGGCTTTGCATCCGATTGGGGTGGTAACTTGGAAATCCGTTTCCAACAATGACATGCAGGGCGCGGTCTATTCTTAGATTCCATTGTTGTAGTCTCATTCTCCCGGTTTGAGCTTGTCCGACCTGTGCGACAAAGACGGGTCGTTCATTATTCATCAGATCAGAATGAGCGTCAAGATGGATCGGGGAAGGAATGCAGATCTGAAGACTCTCATTCCTAATCGCTCCGAGGCTCAAAAATTATATACGAGACCGCGAATATAATCATAAATGAAGCGCTCTCGGCAATGAGGACCCTAACATAGCCTTCGCGAATGAAGACATGCTGAACAAAATTTTGAAATTCCGCTCGAATAAAAACGATATGTGTCCGAGGCGGATGAAAAAAAAACAGTATTGCTCATAATGTCGGTAGCAGTGTATGTTACCTCAACTCGGAATTTCTAACCGGGGACGCGGTTCGTTTCAGCACGAGTTGCTGGTGGCGAGTGACAGCATTGTTCTTCGCATTGACGATCTCGTCGGATGGATTACCGAAGAGGTAGAGTGGGCTCACGGCCTGGTTGTCCCTGGGGCCGGCGAGGAGGACAAAGACAAGAAAAACATAGACAGACAACTCAAGAGGAACATCGAAGATAACAAGGAGAACCTCCTCGGCGCGAAATCTCCTCTCAGAGAACACACGGAAACCACAAACGGTGAGGACAATTTATGTATGATTCGCCGCTCGTGGTGTCGCAACGTCCGAATACTCTCAAGCTATGTGCCTGCGATAGAAATCATGGACCCTCGGCACCGAGAGCGCGGCTGACCCTGAAAGTTTCCGTCCGATTTTCAGGTTCCTCCAACAATGGCACCGACACGACGTGTCCCCACGTCCTTGTACTATCATACCCGCGATACTGCCGTTTCCGTGCCATGCTCCGACGTCTGGAAGGACAGTACTCCGACTGGATTCATAATCCCGTCGTAGAAGCCCTGGGGGGTATCGAGTTCACGAAAAAAGGAAAATACCACATACATTTCGTCAGAGAAGATTTCGAGCACGAGTCGCTCGCACATAACGACCAAATCTGTGATCACCTAGGTGAGCTCTCGCGCGAATATTCGACAGCAGGCGCCGTGTTTTCTCAAGATTCTCGCACCGTGAACGCATCCCCCAACGCACCGTTGCTAAATCAGTGTATGTCTCCTAACTCCCCTGTTTCTCGATCGATCCAGGACCAAGTCTCAAATCCAGATATAAGCGTAAAGGAGTCTTCAGTCGAAGAGCGCGATCCCCGGGTTCAGATTCAAACGCTTCCGAGGAGGGCCGAGACAACATTCGGATTCAGATAGAAAATCGAATGCAGAAAAACAACACGAGCGAAGCATGTAAAAAACAGGAGGAGTTCTTAAAGAAACTGTTCAACTTCATGAGAGAAAGAAAGACACCGATAAACAGAATACCCAACGTCGGACCACGTCAAGGTAAGCTAGAAGGGATCCTTTGTGGGATATCACCAGATTTCTAAAATATCACTCGGATAAGATCTCCGTATGGGATACGCAATACCTATGGGTTCCGGTTCGATGATATCGCAAGAACGTCCCAGAAGCCTTATCTAACCGTCTTATCCCACAGTTGATCTGTACGACTTCTACTCGCTTTCACAAGAACTGGGCGGGTACGAATCGATCACCTGTCGGAAACTCTGGAAGATTCTCCATGACACGCTGGGAGGATCCCCGACCAATACGAACGCCGCTCCGTACATGAGGTGATTATACGAATCTGGGCTTCGGCTCTGCTGAGGGAGCCTAATCCCATAAGGAATGGATATTCTCTGGGAATAACTCGGATTTCGAGTGGACCCTATTCCAATGGACTCCGAAACGTTCCAGGCGACATTACGAGCGGTTGCTGCTGCCGTATGAACGACATGTGCGCGACGCGGACGAAGAGAAACGAAAAAAGAAGAAAGCGGTGCAGGAAGAGAAATCCCTATTGAACACATCCGGCATTCAAGCTGTTCCCACAAACTTGTCAACCATCCCGACGTCACCGGTTATCGAAAACGAAAAGCCGATTGTCCCTGAAAGGAGCAGTCTCGATGGTTTGCTAAAGAAGCGGATGGCCGAACTAGAGCAGGAGCAAATCAAGCTCGCCGCGGCAGCGGCTGCGGCGAGAACCGCGACCCCTGCGTCCGCGGCCAGCGAAGAGCCCGCTCAGAAGAGGCCGAAGCAGGAGTCTCCGCCCTCCCCGGGCGATGCGTCGGATTCGTCCCCACAAAGGTACGAAGAACACGTTTCATGTGAATCATCTTACTTCGTTTTAATAAATCTCAACTTAACCCTCTTACTTCATATATTTATATATATGTCCACCACACGATCGAAGCGTGGTCCCTCGAGAAATTTCTGTCTCCCTCCGTTTTCTCTTCACGTGACAGACCAGTGAGGTTTTGGACATTTCGAGGTCGAGGGTCCGGCCCGTCGAATAATTTTCGTTCTCTCCACAGACCCAACCCAGCGATCTCAAGCTCCCCCCGGCTACCTCCGTCGCCGCATACTGCGTCTCCTCCGACCCAAGTGCTTCCCCAGAGCTCTGCTTCCGTACAAAGAAACAACAGTCTGGCCCAAGCCCAAGCTGTGCAACAACTGATGCAGCAACGACTCGACGATGAGCGCGCGGATGCCTGGCGCAAACAGATAGCTCAACTATTCGCGTTGTCGTGTGAAAAGAACACTCGTGCCTCACAGGAGCTGATGGCTCGTCTCATGGAACAGATCTACCAGAACGGTCCGCACGCAGTCGCCGCGAGCTCAATGCTCCAGGCCTTCACGGGCAGATCGATGACACTGCCCAGCGCCATGGCCCAACTCCATGAGCTCGGACGCACTTCGGCTGCCGCACCGAAGGCTAAAGCGTCCTCATCCGAATGGGGTTCCAGTGGAGGTCGACAAGTGAAACCGGAACCTCCCGCGAGCCCGAAGCTCTCCTTCCAGCCACACCGGATGTCCCCGTCTCTACCCACTCCTGGTGAGTTGATGAAACGATTTTGGTTCTCCATGGCTCTCGGTCGATTTCGTGGAACTCATCGATGAGACCTTTCCATGTGAGAAGAAAACATCGTGATCCTAATGCTGGTCGGGCCCCGGTGCTCATCCTTATCCTGAACACATAATAACTTTTCCCTCTCCTCGCCTTGTAGCAAACGGGGTGTCGACACCGCCTCCAATAAAACGAGAACCTTCGGTGACACCGAAAATGGTCTCTCCGCTCCCTCGACCGGAGAGTCGCTCAACTCCGGCGGCTCACGCGTCGAGTTCGGCCCACCGACCACTTGCGTCGAGTTCTTCGAACGACGTTCTAGACCTGAGTGTGAAGAAAACTCCTCCACCGACACCGACCGTCAAGACCGAGACGGTGACCCCTGAATCCAGTCAGCCGGTGAGTAGAGAGTACCTGTCTGATCTTTAGGTCCGGCTGAGATAGCCTCGTTCGAGGATATTCGCGCCGCCTAAGGTATCTCACAATACGTCCATCGATAAACCCAGATTCGAGCATCTACCTAGCGAGATGATCCGTATTCTCAGAGATTCTAAAATGGATATCGTCTCCTCCAGGAAACGCCCGCGTCGGCGAACGGCCTCCTCGACCTGACGGTCAAAAGATCATCTGGCTCCTCAGCTCAGAGTCAGGCCAATCAGGCTCTGATGGCGAATTACCTCAATATCGCCTCCCTCTATCCTCAGGCTTTGGCCCATGCGCCAACGTCGAACAACAGTGCAAATAGCTCCGGTCATTCGTCGTCGACCTCTTCCTCGGCCGCCGCCGCCGCCGGCTCATCATCATCATCAGCATCTTCTCAACGGAGCAGCAACAGCCACAGCAAGAGCTCATCTCATCGTGGCCATCATTCTTCATCTTCTCTCAACTCGTTACACGGATCCTTATTGTCATCGGCTCCATCGGGCTATTCGAAATCTTCCTCGCACCGAACAAAAACATCGTCGCCCTCCTCGTTCAATCCATTGAATCCGTCGATATCCTCGATGGCCTCGTTATTCCAGTCAGCAGCAGCGCAAGCATCGTCGTTGTTGCCGTCGACGTCGTCGCCTTCGCCCTCCAAATCGAAACAACACCACAGCTCATCGGTGCAGTCCGTTCCCATTCCAGCGAGTAAGCCTACGAGCAACGGGAAATTACCAAAGATCCCCCAGCTGATTCCATTCCACGACATCGCCAAGAGTGCTTCCGCGACGTCACAGTCGTTCGCCCCGCCAAAAAAATCCACGGCCTCGTCCTCGGCCATTCCCACTGTCTCGGATTATAATCCAACCCTGCCGGCGTTCATCCCTCAGAACCCCTATACAGGTCTCGGAGGCTTGGCAGGTCTCGGTATGAACCCCATGATGGCAGCCATGATGCGACAGAACGCGTTTGTGCAACAAGCTCAAGCGGCCGCAGCGGCCCAGGCTCAAGCTCAACAGGCGGCTCAACAGCAGCATCAGCAGCAGCAGCAACAACAACAACAGCAGCAGCAGCAATTGCAGCAGCAGCAACAACAACAACAACAGCTCCAACAGCAGCAGCAGCAACAATTGCTTCAACAGCAACAGCAGCAGATGCGACAAATAACTGCCGCTGCGTCTGAAATTGCGGCGTATAAAGATCTTATCGAACGAGGCATGATGTTGCCGCCAGGAATGGGAGGACCTCAGTGGCCTCCGGGCGGCGCCGCTGGTCTCATGCAACAGTATCTTCAAATGATGTACGGAGGCGCTTTGTCCCAGCCCAAATGAGGAGCCGAGGAAAAAGTGACTGACAATTGATGGGAGAGCGTAAAATCGGTTCCAACCCAAGATTCGCTCGAGAATCGGCGTTCTGAGGTGAAAGCCATATAGGTGATATTCACGTGCATTAAAACCATGGAACCGACTCATTGATAATAGATTCGCCTTCCCCCATCATCGAGCTACCGAAAAAAAACTTCATCATTATACAAAGTACCCAAACCAGATCCATATAGGGGAAGAAGCGTAGGTATCTGCCAGCCGGATGGAATATTTTCTAGCACCCTTCATCCAGCGTAATGAGAGGAGTCCCGGAATCGCGCAGTCGTTGAGCTCCTTCCTTATTTGTTTACTGGTTGCGGATCATTCTCCGACCCTTAGGTACATCCGCTGTAGAATACCTGTGTAGCAAATTAATTGTGCCCGGAGGAATCCGTGTCACGATTTATTACGCCGCGAAGTAGAGTTGAAGATGCACCGACGTCCTTTGAAGTCATCTTGTGCGCACTGTCGATGCAGCGAAAACCTACTTGTTGAACGGAGGGATTCAACACGAACTCCGCATACAGGAAGATTTTATATCGATGCGTCGACTTATTTATGTAAATACAATCCGAACCGTAATGAAAACACGTCGGCCGGAACGGAGGACGCGGCAGTGGGAGCTGCCAAAGCAGGTACTAGAAATTGGCGAGCGGATCTCTTAAACTTTTAGAGAGAATGTCGGGGTAGCATCACGCAACCTAAAGATGCTCACGTGATGGGTGTACATATTCTCGTACCTTAGGGCTTCGAGTTCGATCCGGAGCGACATGAACGGCTGGAACGCGCGTTACTCTCTGGGGCATTATTTCTTGTGTATAATACGTGGGGACGGGGATTTTTTCTCCTGAGGCATCCGACTGATCCAGGAACATGAATTGAGCGAAACGCTGATGGCGTCGAGCTAGTTCCGGCGGATTGAGACCTGGAGACCTGAACAGTGTAAGATTAATTTGAGGTGGAACCAGAAAACCCGAGGTGCGTGCATTCAAAAATGGAGATACAATGAAATGTTTCCGCGATGGACCACCGAATTGGTCCAGAAGATTTGAGTTATATAAATACAACAGGCAGAAATTATCTAGCATGATATTTCGAGTTGATCCAATTCAGGCTCGCATGCCAATGAATGGAGGGTCACTGAAGCTGTGTCTGTATGGAGCATATCTGAGTGACGTGCTTTGAAGATTCGCTACGAGTGATGATCCAGACAAATAAAACGCGCAAGAAAGGAAATACAGTGTTTTCGTTCCCTCAACCCCCGATCAACCCCGTTAAGAAATCATACTCTCGTGGGTTCCAGGACCTGGCCTCTCTTCCGGGCTACAACCTCTAGCGCAATCTGACGTGAGTCTCTCCGACAATGTGGGTAGGGGGGAGAATGGAGCCTATCGAATAGTGCTTCCAAAACCAAATTGATGGGGGTTATCAGAGCTCACATAGTCAATGATGAGCGCTCATAGGGGTTCATCGGGCTCCCCGGCTCGGATTTTTTTTCTCGGAAAAAAATTCGGAAACCACCGCTATCGCAAGCTTTCCCGGAAGACATTGGCCCAAGGGATATTGCCGGAGAGCGTATCTCGGAAGATTGGCTGGATCAGGCTTCACCGACTTGCGCAGTTGCGTGCATTCCATTGGCAGAATAGATTGCTATCCGAGGACAGAGGTAAAAAAAAGGAAGGTAATATGCCAGGATCACCTTGAATTCTAGGAGTACACGAATCGGAGAGGCCAAAAAGAAAACACGAACGATTTCGTATATATTAATATATATTTCGAAATAAGTTTATTTAGTAAGGTATACTTGGATTATAATCATTGTTACACAAAACTTTGCACTAGGGGTATCACCGGTCGCCAGCTTTTCTCCGTATACATCTGTCAACGATTCAATAATGATATTAATCGGCATCATCATCATTTGTTCCTTTTTATAGTCACCCAAAAAACAACATGTCTCCTATGGCAGATTGTAGATCCTTGTTCATTTCTTTAAGGAATACAGATTCACGAGTACTGCTCGTCACTGCTCGTTCCAATGCCTGAAAGGGCTCGAATGCTTCCAAGAATATTTACTCGCGCGCTCTTGCTTGGTCAGTCGATCGGTCCTGCTGTCCGTCGGTTATTAGTTTCACGTCTTTTGGGAGATTCAGAGCTTCAGATTCCTACTCATGTGAAAGTGAAAAAATGTCGAGAGGCAACTGACATAAAAACTAATGCCACACTTCTCGAAACATTACGGCGTCGGGAAGTGGGCCACTCTTTTAAATAATGATGGAACTCGTCATCATCATCTTCATCAGCTTGATTTTCATCATGATAAACTTACAAGTATTGAAATTCCGAAATATTTTTTTTGGCTCGGTATAAACATCTTATTTACAAAAATAGACATCGCTCGGGGAAATCATCCTCTTCGAGTGGTTTGGAGTCAAATGTTCGTGATACTTTTCGGAACTGGTCTTTCACACTCGAATAGCGAGGCCAGGAAGAGCGTACAAATTAGTTAGTAAAAATTCAACGATATTCCAACGGTGATCCGATAGAAGACGATACTAGAAGTAGTGGTGGTTATTCGTAACGGTACTCCGCGAGCGGACGAGTTCGCATCCGAAAGTGGTTCGACCATTCCTCGTGGCCCTCATAGTTTTTCAGGAAAGCTTCTTGTAGGAGCGGGAGAATTTATCCGAGGAGCTTCTTCAACTTTCTCTAATGTTTCCGGACATGATTATAGCTGAATGGGTATCCTCCTCCCATTTCGTCAAGCTCCTTCATAGATCCATCAATACATCTTCCCGTTGATCGCCGGATCAGTCTCTCCGTCGACTGTCCATCGATCGGGTTTCGAATGTTCAACGTTCTGATACGAGTATACGATAAAGCCTGGAGAATCCTCCAAAATGTGGGTGTCGATTTCTTCTCCCGAAGCCAGCGCCACAATCGTCGACTGGGGACACCGACACAATTACCCAAGGAAAGATGGTCCTTTAAAGTTCGATATGCAGCGCGAGTACGAATCGACACCGGACACGTGTCACACTACGGGTATGAAAAAGATAAGAGAAGAGCGATAGGTAAATAGATCATCATGAAAATTTACAAATCTACAAAAGTACAGACTATCGATTCCGGGTTTCAATTGCGACACGGTCCTGTCTGACGGCTTCTGTCGACCGTGCCATGTCCATCACGCCAGGTTTCCTCTTTTCTCGGAGGTTTCCAATTCTTCCTATTCGAGCTTAGACTTTCCGACAGGACGAATGAGTTCGACGCCCGTGAGCGCCTCTTCCACTCCGAAGAGTCAGACGTATGGATGGAAACGATAACATCGAGCAAGAATAATCGATGAAATCACGAAGAGAGAGAGACTCGGAAAAAAATGCAGCGCCACTCTCGATTTCGAGCCTCGAGCACCGCCGACCAGAGCTGCGGAGTCGGTCGCCTGATCTGCTTCGCGTGTTTCGCGTCATGAGATCGCGACGTGGGCTCTTCTCCCGAAACCGATCGTGACGGATATGATCGGAGCGACCATCGCTCTCGGGATTCGACTTCTCGTCATTGCCTATATGTTCATAATCGTATGTATATACTGGCTAGGACAGAGACAACAACAACAACATTAAAGCTTTGCTTCGCTTGTTAATCAAGCGTCCGATTGCAAGGGTTCCTCTTTGCCGTGAGCTGCTTCTGAGAAGTGCCGCTGGTGCCGCCGCCGGTGCTGCTGCGTTGAAGGTAACCTCAAAATATCATGAGGAAGAATGCTACGCAGAGCCAGTCCGGAGGAACGAGTGCCGGGAATGGAATATCCGGAAGGGAGACCTCTTCCGGTCAGATTTCTCTGTTCGGCGCAGTGTAGGGGAGTGAATGTGCAATTCCAGGGAACCCTCGTCGAGTTCGGGGGAGGGCGGTGATGGTGGTTGGGCGGAGGGGGATGGGAGTGATGGGATCACTTTTAGGGAGCACGAGCTCAGGGCTGACTCGTGATCACCATGGGCACCACATCCGAGTAGCCGGCGATTCCGTGCACGCCTAGCACGTCCACGCCGAGCAGACTGCCCGGAGACGCTGCCTGGTGGAATTGCGTGTTCACGTGTAAAGTAGGACCCTGCCCTCCAAGGGAGCGACCCTCTTTCTTCAGCTTTTGCTTCAGGTGGACTTTCGCATGTCGCTTCCTCTCGTCCGAGCGGGCGAACTTCCTGCCGCAGACCTCACAGGAGAAGGGTTTGTCGCCTGCAACAAGAACGTCGACACTGTTAGAAACAGCAACGTCATCCGGAGGCGACTCTAGGAGCGTTCGTCCAGCGGAAGATACGGTGATACACGGCGGAGTCTCTTCGATGTATTTCTTTATTTCCTCTCGCTCGTCTCTTAATCGCTCATATGGGCTAGCTCACCCGTGTGGGTCCGGAAGTGTGTGGTCAGATGGTCGGAGCGGCTGAAGGATCGCAGGCAGATCTTGCATTGGAAAGGTTTCTGTCCCGTGTGAATCCGAATGTGACGGGTGAGTTCGTCAGAACGAGAAAAACGCCTGTCGCAGCCTTCGATAGGGCAGGCGTAAGGCCGTTCATGAACGGGGGTTTTCGATGGTCTGGTTGGATATTTTCGGGGTTTCACCTGCAATGCAGTAGGCCACAGGTCAGCTTCCGTCTGAGGACAATGAGCACAGTGTAACATTCGACTTGTCGCATAGACGTGAGCTTGATGAGAGCATGAATTGGTATCGAGCCGAAAGCCGGATGAGCTTACCGGGACGAGTTTGAGCGGGGTGGGGCTGTTCTGGTAAGCCTGGTTGAGGATTTCGTGGCCTTTGCTCGTGGCCTGGTTGTACTCGGCTAGAGTAGCGACAGCGGACGAGCTCCGGGAACCTCCGGTGCTCGAGGCGCTCGCGTTGGAAGTGTCGTCTAAACTTCCTTGCGTCTGCAGAGTCGAGTAGTCCGGCTCCTGTTTCGGCACGAGGACCTACGGACACAAAGCGGAAAGTTCGGAAATTCGTTTGGGGGAAGAAATATCGAATTTGATCCCGTAAATGGAGTTCAATCGAGTCCGTATCGATAATAATAGTCTGGATGGGAATATGAGAGTTGGCGAATATTCTTCCCGCCAGAACTCACCGGTGGACCGCTGGTCGTGACAGCCTGCAGGCTGTAGGTCGAGAGATCGGACGAAGTTGTGGTGGGCGGCGAATAGTTCGTCCACTGATATGTCTTGGTGGTCGTCGACGCGTTCAGAGCCGTGCAGGACGGGGCGCGGAATGCGAGTTCGAGACTACTCGTATCGATCGGAGCTAAAGTAGCTACGTCGGACGGAGGCGGACTACTCGAAAGTATCGTTTGGGTTGTGTAGGTCGGCTTGCTAAGCATGAACGACGTGTCGAACTGCGATACGAAGTGCTGGCTCAGAAGCTGATCTGGCTGACTTACAGCTACGAAAGCGGATTCGTGAGAATGCTGTTGAGCGCCTTGCTGCTCGCCATCTTGTGGAATCGTGTACGGGGACTGAGTCGACGGCGAGCTCTGCGTGTACTGAGGCGAAGGAGATTCGTTCGTTTGCGACGGCAAGAGATTCAGCAGTGGGGGGAACTTCTCCTGAATGGGTGAAGCGGAATTCGCCGTTGTCCACAGCACGGCCGGAGACGTGCTCTGGGGCGAATGCGCATTGTTGTTGTATTGATGATTCGAACTGCGCGAAGTGTATCTCTGCTGAGGTGACGAAGCTGCGGGGCTGATTTGCGGCGATGGGAACATATCGCCCTTTTCCGGCACGGCCGCTTCGGCTGCAAAGAGAGAGAGAAAGGCAATTAGGTTCGAGTCGGGTTCAGTCTCCTTCAGATCGGATTCAGACCATTCATTCGTCCTAATCATCATTCATCATCATTATCGTTCTCTACTCCTCTTTATCAATTATTTAAAAGCGAACACAGCTCCCCGATATCTCAGCGTTTAGAGCTCCGCCATTGCGGTACGTGAAACGTCAAGAGCACGTAGGGGCATAGGCGGACAATCTATCCCTATCACCGGACAGCTGAGTTGCGTCAAAATCCAGAAATTCCCCTGTCTCTGAGGGCTCCGAGGTTTCACCGAGAACCTCATTCGTTAGTGCAAGTTACCTGTCGCTCTTTCTATCGGTCGCAAGCGGTGTGGAGAACGTCACGACGCCGGCGGCAGCGGCGACGACGACGCCAGCTGGGCGGTCTCATCATCGGGGTCGTTTGAATTATAAGAGGCGGGTTCCCGTTCGGCTGTGCACCGATCCACCGAGCTGCAGGAACGCCCGACGAAAGCGGAAAGCCGAAGCGGAATAAGCGAACAAGAAGAAAACCCGACAACGGCTTAGTCAAGCCAGACGGTAGAAAAAGAAGACGACGACGACGACGACGACCGCGTTGATGATGATAATAATGCAGAGATAGCATTCAAAGGTGAACTACAACAACGGCAATCCGTCGTTCTGAAACTTCGATAGGATCTTTCCCCGTTGACGGTATCAACAACAGCAGAAGCGGCGGCCGTCGCTGCCGCGGCAGCAACCGAAAACAGTCCGAGTTCGCGTGGGTGGCGCGGATCCACAACTCGGAGCGTTCCAATGGAACGTCATCGAAGAGATCGTTGCTTTTTTCTTCTCTGCTTCTTCGCGGGTAACTCGAGGCTCTCCCGAAATACGCCGTGGTCTCCTTAGCGCGAAAATCTCGTTGTCAACGTTGCCGTCCTGTCGATGCTTGTCAAGTGGCTCTTGTTGTAAATGTCATCAAAAAGAGCTAAAAATAGATCACCGTCTATTTTCGTCAGAATCCAACAAAGTCCTCGGCGTACCGAGCATCGTCTGCGTACGACAACCTGTAGATGAGTTCTCACAGAAAGAAGCGTGGAGCTACGTTTTGCTCTTTTCCCGAGTACCGCGGTGATCCCCCGATTCCGGTCGAAATTCTCTGCCAGCAGAAACACGGATGACATTTCTCATGAGTATGGTGGAACTCGTCGTGACCGGGAACGTGACAATGTATCGAGTCCGGAAACACAGAGCGAATTACCTAGTCGCCCAAATAGAATATTAATTAATAGAAAATTTCGAAACGGATTCCATGATGAATTTTTCTGAACAACATCCCTGAGCCCTCGAGAGGGTGGGGAGAGGTTCGGGACGGACAAGACCTTGAGCGAATGCATTCGAAAAAAGAGGCGGGCGCAAGTAAGCAGGCAACCTTCTGCCCCACTCGGTCATATGGAGTTTTCTGAGAGCGCAGTTTCTTCGCCCTCGATCGACATGCATGTTCCATACGGATGTCACGATGTATGCATCGATGAATGGACTCTCTCCACCTGCGCACGCATCGAATAGTACGTTCACCGATCTGAACGCGTAGTAGCTTCGAGTTCTTGCGGTTTCCCCTGCCGACATCCGCCCCGTCTCGCGGCGCAAGTCTCGAATCTTTTTCTCCTCCGCTCCTCTAGCTGAGGGTGAGCTCAGTCAATGACGGTCTGGAGCCCCCGAAGTCCCTCTCGGCCCTTTCCCGCTATGCTCTCGACTATTTATACCTCAATCGGTGGCGATCGCGAAGAAAGCTCGACATTGTTGCTCGATTCGGCGCGCTGTCCGCCGGATAGTCTGGCCGGCGACGATTGCGTGGGAAGCGAAACTGAGCCCTCAAGCAGAGGACTACTAAGTATTTCAGCAGGTCGCGAAGATGAAAAAATAACGAAAACACCTAGATGTCTAATCCATCGTGTCGAACCTTCCAGCCGATACCGCAATTGATCGAAATACGCACGACGAGAGGGAGAGAGGTGAAGTACACCGTTTCAGTGAATTGTACGATTCTCTCGTCGTTTCCGTCATTCTCTTCCGCCTTGAAGGAGGCGCTGAACGACGTCTCGTGGAGTTCCCCGAAGTACGAGCAATCGAAGGGGGCACTCAGAGCGATTGTTTTCATGCACGGAACGACGGTGCCTCACTTCCAGGGAAATGTGTCGAAGGGGAAGAGCGTACTGAAATGTCGCTCCGAAAACTCGTCTCCTCGACCGTGGAGCTGCGGCAGCTCGTTAATCATCCAGAGGAGCATCCAGATCCCAGCCACCCGACCAATACACCACAAACAACACACCGAAAATTCTTTGTCCTCCAGGCACTCGGCGCCGCGGTCCAGAGAGGAGCGATACGGCTCTGTGTCTTGGACACATCAACGTGAATGAGTGTAAACAACGGCCTTTGCTTCGAGCCGACAGATCAACACTCCGAAGATAGATCTTTCTCACTTAGTGAATGGCCCCGAAATCATATACAAATTCACTCGAGACTAGTATCGATCACTGCTGGTTCTCAGAGAACCGTGGGTTTGATTTGTCTCTGCTTTGATTTATAAACTGAGTCCGGTTCGAGGAGCATGCCGGGACGATGATCGGGGAGTTCTGCGGAGACGATTGCGCGTCCGGAGCGAAACCCCCGAGGGTAAATGAGATCTTCAGACGCTTTGTACGAGACGTCATCATCTTGTCTTCCGAGCTGCCTCACATCGGTACGTGTAAATCGGCGACTTGATGTGTTTGTAGTTGTCTCGCGATATCGTGGCTTTTGTTGTTGTGGTCATCACCGTCGTCGCCGTCGTTTTTCTCCTCCTTATTCGCAACGAGGGGCGCCGACGAGAACGAGTTTGAAAGAGGGATGCCGGCTCACGGATCGCCTCACTGCATGGCGCTAATTCAAATCAAATTGCTCATCCGGCAAACAGAGTCGGTGAGTTTCGAAGAGTTCTTTTTTCCCCGCTCTGATCCATCTCGTCGAAATCGCCAATCAGGCATTCGTGTGTATGTAGCAGCTCTTCTGTCTACTGATTCGGGGCTGTTTGTAAGAGTAAGTAAGTGTGTTTGTCGTAAGTGTACATTGTGAACCGCTACAGCTAAGCGTGGACTCTCCTCTGTTTTCGTCGATATTGATCTTTCTTTTGCGGCGGCCACCTGTCCGTCGTGACTGGCGTCGATTCTGGGCCATCTCGGCCTGGCTTTACCGCCGCCGCCGCCGCCGCCGCCGCCACCGTTGTCGATGGTCCATTCGCCAAGCAACGAGCAAACTACCAGGCATACGAGCTGTCTGTCTGTGTAGTCGGTTGGTCGCACGGCCAGAAAGCGAAGCAGCGAGCGGCAACCGACTGACGGAAACAACGTCGATTGGATTTGCCGCAGTCGTAGTGACCAATCGAGACGTTTTTTGCCGCTGGCTCCTCCCAGCAAGCGTTTGGTCGGTTGGTCGGACGGACGCTCGTTCGAGACGCGCTTTTTGCTCTTTCCAGCATCATATTTCTGTCACTGGTATGGATGCTACCGACTCGATTTCCCTTATTATGAGCGGGTTCTCCACTCCCCAGATTCCAGGCGTCTCGCCTCCGACTCGTGATTATCCAGACTCGACTTCCATTTTATAGAAATCGTCGTAATAATTAAATTATCTAATTTGAAACCTGAATCGCAGGGGATTAATCCGCCGTTGAGATCGATCGAGGGAATATTAACCACATGAACTCCTCCTCGAAATCGTCAAAGACGATGGACGACTTGCCACAATGTCATCTGCCTGTCTTTGAAGAGAGACTCGCGATCGCTCGCTCGCTCTTTGGCTCGTTCGGTCAGTCGGTCGGTCGGTCGCCCGCGCTCTCGAAAAGCGAAACCAACGGCGACGAAGCGACCTGCAGCGAGACTAACAGAGCCAAACAGGGTTGACGCGATGACTTGGAGTTTATTACTGTTCAGGGCCACGTGTCATCAAATGCCAATCTTCGGAGAGTAATTGCAGCAGACTGGGCCTAATCGTTTGAAGGCCTCAACGCGTGTATTTGACCTGGACGTCTCAGTCGATACATTGTTCGATGTTCATTTTTCTCATGGCGCGGCACTTCCGTAAAGATGCCTCATGTAGGCGACTGGGACCTTCCGTAATTTTCTGTCTGCGCGGGCAGACGGTGAAGCAGCAATGCCGTGGAGCCGGAGTGGGTAATCTGATAATGAAGAGCTCAAGAGGAACCGTTTGACAAAGTTCTTCCAGAACGGAGAGTTCGACCCATCCGGATAAGATGCACGCCGGGTGAGCTCTCGTGCTGCTTTGGGTCGAGCGCCTCGATGTCCTCACCAAGCACCCAGTATACGTCAGACAGGCGCGACAAGACATCCGCAGTAAGTCAGACAACTCTACCTAACCAGATCACTGTCGCCGCCACCGCTGAAGAAGCGAGCGGTCGAAGCGGCACAGTGCACCGACAAGTAGAACGAATGCTAGACGAGGCAACGCAAGCCTTCTTCTGAATGAGTGACTGGCCGGCCGAGATTACAGAGCGCTCGAGATGTGCTTTCAAAAATATCCGCTTGTCCAGGTGTGATATATTATTTCGATTTGTTTGTGATTTTCGCAACCGGCGCCAGGTACGCCCACGTCAGCTAGAATATCAAGTCCTGAGATCTCCAGAGAATAGTGTACTTTCGCTTAGAGACCACCGGAGACTGTTCGGAATCGGTCAGAGCAGCGGCCACGAGCGCCTTCGTCGGGTGTCGTCTGACCACGAGGCAAGGCCGTTGCATAACGTTCATCCCACCTTCAGAGATTGTGTGCTGTCGACGAGTCATGCTTCCTGTTTGTCTGTCTTTCATTTAGTCCCACTAGAGAGAACGAGAGGTCGTCTGCGACGCCAGGGCTGAATTAATGAAGCCTTCGACGATTAGCTACATACTTTATTCCTTCAACATCATTCGTGGTGATTTTGGGCTGGGATCTTGCCTTGTTTTCGCCAGAATGCCCTCGTGCTTGCGTGGTACACCGCTATCTCGAGCTCATTTTCTGATCAGTAAGACCATGCAGGTTCTTAATCAGAGTTTTCGGGGGCTCATAGCCGAGGTTCGGAAAGGGGCAAAAAGCTCGTCGACATCGTTAGTGGTCCGGGGGAAATTCCAATCTGACCCCCTGGAGTTTTCTGGCTTGACGCTCCCGCCGGCAGACATCGCGAATAATTCGGAAAATCCCCGATCCGAGATCCCAGATCGAGAGAGACAGAGAGTTGCTTTTCCTGACCTCGAGATATGTTTTTTCGTCCCTTGACACGCCGAAATGAGGAAACGCAGTTCACTCAACGAGGAGCGAGGAAAACGTTCACGTGCTTACGAATGACTTCCCGAGACGCCGATCAAGCGGCCAATCATAGCGATAAAGCTTGTTTGACGTTCTCTCCGCGGGATGAACTTCGAATGTCGAATACCCCAGCGCAGTGATCTGACGTAACGCACCTCGCTTACGCACCCGGGCACCTCACTCAGTCGATGGCCCCGAGGAACCATCTGTGCGCTTCCGAGCCTCCTACGCTCTCAAGGGCGCGTCTTTCAAGCTGAGGATTTGATAGAGTTGTGCTTTTCGACAAATTCTATCGAATGACGCCGATTTCGTTCCGGTATGGCCTCTAGTTTCGATACTAGAATCGAAAAAGTAGCCCGGTGCGCCCCCACCGGCCACAGGCGCGGTGCTGACGGCGCTTATCGACACAAGCAGCGCTATGTTCTCGTCGTAGCCAGCGACGGAGACGGCGATTCTCTTTTTCTTTCGTTCTTCCTTTGGCTGCTGCCCCGAACCGCGCCGGCTCTAGTAAAACCGAAACTGCCAGAACGGACGGATTCTCTTTTCTGACTTCGGTCTTAGCGGACGATCTGGCTCGACTGTATCGAGATATATGTACATGGCTGTTCGACTGACCGACCGACTGTCCGTTCGAACGACCATTGGACTGAGTTTTCGATACTGGATCAAGGCTATGGCGGAAGGGCTACACCATACGTCCGACCGACCGTCCGTCTGTCCGACGTGCGTAACCTTCGGAAAACCGAAGTCGTCTCTTGCAGTCCACTTGACGCTCTTGCGTGTCTGTGCTCGCAAGGCTGCGGCCGCTACCGACCACGGTGACACTCGCTCGTTCGGGAAAAACTGGTCTTCAGCGCTCGCTCCGATGCTGAATCGAAACGGAAAGAGAATCAACTTCGCCTGTCTTCAACGGACTACCTCTACATCATACGTACGGGTCCCCGTCATGCGCAGCGATTTTGGCGGACGTCGATGACGAGGGAGCGGCTGATTTTCACTTAGTTCGATTCAAAACCCTTCGGATTCGGGATTCTAAGAGTTCCGCGCGCGTATGTTCTCACATGTGGAACGCTCCCCGAGAACCATCGCCCCTGGTCGGGCATTCGATGACTCGGCCGAGATCGCCGGGCTCGCTTGAAGTTCCGTAGCGGCCAAAGGACGAACGCTTGCTTCTGCGACTTCTCACGCAAAGTTTTATGGACGGACGTTTGTTAGCTAATGAAATTCACCGCCGCCAAGCGCGCAATTCCGATGTTGGGACAAGCAAAGAGAGCGCTCCGAGAAAAAAAAAAGAAGCGCACCGCGCCTCTCGATAAAATTTCTTCTTGAAGACTCCGTCGGTGGTCAGAATTGGAACGGCCGCCGGCGCGGGTGGATTCCCCTTGACAGACTCGCTCCCGATTGAGTCGAAATGATGGAAAATCAATTATCAACATGCCAGAAACCCGATCGTTGTCGACGTGGGTCTCGTGCATCAGCCGGATCGTCCGCCACCGATCTTGTTCCGCCCGCTCGACAGCTCGTGTCCTCGTCGAGCGAGTGCGCCCAGAGCGAGTCGGCTGAAGACTCTTTATTCGCTCGGGGTAAAAGCATCTTGAGACGTAGACTCTTCGTTTCCACGTGTCGTCTGAGGGGTTCCCTGAATGAAGTTCGCGGATGGAGCCGCTCATGTGGGGCGTCGGCGGACACTGACGTGCGCTGTCTCGTCTGACGGTAATGACGGAGATGAGCCTGATCTTTCAGCGTGATGCTGGTGTTTCTCTCAAGTTCCAACTCCGCAATCCGACACGATCAACAGTGACTGCTCAGCGGGTCATCACCAGTCACTTTCGGTCGGGTCGCTCTGACAGAGGAACTTTTACTATGAGCAACTTTTCTACTACGAGAAGCCTCGGTGCCGACACTTCGGGTTTTAATTTCTGACGACCGAAGACGGATCCGGGGCCTGCTCGAAAGCTCCCCCGGGGGGGGAATTCGTCCAGAAAACGCCAGAAGGTACGGATGAGCGTGGAGCTCACGGACGGACGTACTCCGGAAAAATCCGCCGAGCCAATCGTTCGCTACGCGTGGTTCGAGCTGTGCAACTCTGACGGCTATGGCTGCCCTCTGTCGAAGTGTCAGCCATCTTTCTTCTTCTTCGGGGTCTTGCTGGTTGACTCCTGGTGACATAGTTTACAGGATAAATGAGTTCGAGTTTTGCCTCCCTCTCACTTCGAAGCAGTCTCGTTCTTTCTTAGTCTTAAGACGGTTCAGAGTCTCACGCGCGCGCACAGACTCGACTATGACGACGACCCTTAACCCGGAGTGTTTTGCTGGCGGCTGGCCTACCTGGAAAAGACCAAGAGGCTGCCCCGGATGAAAAAGCCGTTCTATTTTGCGCAAGTTGAAGCGCTTTTTATTTTCTAGCGAGAAGCATTGCAAGCATTTTTGCTCTCTTTCTCTGCTCTCAGAAGCAACAACTGCAGTTCCCCTGTCTGT